TCTGTTCTTTTTTCGATTTTCTCCAAGTTGTCATTGCGTAGCAGATTTGCTCAAAGGAAGGCAGGGATGTGATAAGCTTGATAACTTAGTCCAATTACTTTTAACGGCCAATATCTTAATAATACAAAAGACGTGGAGTATTTATCACTCTGTTTAAACTATGTTGAGGGGAAGGGAGAGTTGGGACTAYAGRGAAAGCGAAGGGTATGAGATTAAAATAACCATTTAATGTGTTGAATATCTTGTTCACAGCTATAGAGATAATTCCACCCTATCCCAGGAATGAGATAGCAATAGAAGGAGATTCATTGGCGATATCCTGYATAGCGARAGACACTTCAGGATACCCAAGTAAAGTCATCTTCACCAGACGAAGCCGCGTAGATCATTAYACTTACGAGGAAATCCAAAACAGTCCTCGAGTTTACGTGACCAATACAACTCGGAACGATACACACGGTAAATACTAATCCATGCACCACTGAACGATTCTAAACCACACTTCGTTTGAGTTTCAAGGTCATGGAGCTTTATCAAAGGTCGTGCTTTAGACAAAAAAAAAAGTGTTGAATACAAAGCCCTATGGGTTATTGCACTGTTCCAAAGTGCTTCTTTTTTGCTTAGTGTGSAACAAAGTCTTATTTTCATGAGGTGTTGATGTCATCGATCAAACTAAATCGATGAAAAAACAATGTCATGAAATAATAAAGAGCCGAGAGACGTGTTGATAGTATAGTGACGTGTCTTCAGTCAGCTTGTCTCGTCCTGTTAAGTACTGTAGCTGATCGTCACGTAACCTTTCTTCCTTTAGGTTTAACGCGAACTGCAGTCCTCCATATCGAGTCAGCACAGCCTTCAGATCACTCCAGCCTTGCACCATACCAGTGTTGGGCTTATCCTTCAATACCTGGCGGCAAGGAACCCGAAAAACATGTATTTACTATATATGTCATATCAAGTAAGTGAACTGATGATCATCATATACAGTAATGCCTCTAGTCTTTTCACTGATTCTTTATTGATATACTGCTTGATATACAGAGAGTGATCTACCTAGAGCAACTGTAACAGGTGCAAATGCAACACTTGGAGGTCCTGCTAACTTGACTTGTGATGTAACGTATCCTGGTAACCAGTACAAGGCACCACTCGAGAGACTAGCATGGGTCAAGAACACCAAGACTATCAGTGAGAATGGTTCCACTACTATCGATCCTTTGATTCTCACTACTGTGTCAGCCAGAGATGGAGGAGTTTACACTTGCATGGCTGTAGTGAAACTACAAGGATTAAAAGCTGTCAATATATCTTTGGGAACAGCCATACTCACGAGTATGTACCACTAACTTATATCATAGTTAATGGAGTGGAATGGTTTGGAAACTCCATAGAAATGGAGTTTTGCGTTTGATGTTGAACCGTACCATCACGTGTTACTGACGGTGCACAATGGACCAAAGCAAGTATGGCTGAAAATACTCATTTCCTTATTATTTTCATGTATGAACATTTTGAAAGTGAAAACTTTCATTCGATGACCAAAAACCATGCCGATAAATATTTCCGCCCAGATACAGTTAAGTTACTAGATGATGAATAAGAAAGCATGAAAAAAGCCGCAATTTCCTTTTCAATAAACAATTTGTATTAATCATATAGGATTAATTTACGAATAATAACTATTTCAGAACGTTTTTTTAGGGAGAAAAACTTCTATATTCCCGAACACTTTGAACAAACGGAGAATCTTTTCCTTCTCTGTGCACGGTCAACGTCATATAACAATGTATAAAGTCGAACAAAAACCTAGAACAATAGGTTTCCCAACCACTCCGCCCCATTAACTATGCTTATATATAGCTATTATTCTCCCATAACCCATTGTTGTTATGGAGACCACACATGTGATATGTATATATAACCACTAGTTGCCATGTGACAGACACGCAATAGGTATATATTTATAACTTTGATACTTTGGTATTTACTTTTCTAGTAAGAGTGCAGTTTTTTGAAGCTCCAACGRAAGTAGTGGGTACTGAGGGGGGTAGGGTGGTGATGGAATGTCCAGCTGAAGGCTATCCACTGAACATTACATGGTTGAGGAGGTTGAACAATGGAACTCAAGTCGTTTTGAAAGATGCAAGTGAGTAATGAAACTGAAAGCCAGTGTTTAAGTACTTATGGTTTGTTTTCCATACTGATTGTCTTATATTATCTTAGTCAACATTACAATGGCTGAACAGTACGTAGTTACCAGGCCCTGCTCATACTGTCGATATAAACTGACCATCAGCAACGTTCGATCCCATGATGCTGGGCGGTATGTGTGTAAAGCAAACGAAGGCGGACAACATCATTTTGATCTGTTAATGTCAGGTAATCCATTCTTTGTCTACTTCAATAATTTAATAGTCATTATAATACTATTTCATATATTTATGGACACGATAAAGCCTAGTGCCTGWAAATAACGATTAATCGTTATAAATATTTTTTGCTCGTTAAAAACATGTTTTTTTTTTTTTGGAATCATCAGGTTGTGTTGGTGTCATGGTGAACTTCCACACTGTTCTTATTGGTGTACTGGCTGGGCTCATGTTGATCTTGTAGACTCACATGATTAACATTTGTAAAGCAATACAGTTATTCAGTAGTCACGCAACAATGAATGTAGACATACTGTTATATGAAGAAACCAAAATGTCAAAGTTTTGATTTCACTTGGACTATTTTGACGACGCCTGTTAAGTATTGACCTGTATGTCGTAGCAGAAACGGCATGACATTACAAATAGATTTTGATGAAGAGAGGTTTACGCGCTTTTCACAACCTTTTCAGTAGTGTGTGACTATCAGTTACTAGTTGGTCTACAATTCTTGTTAAAAGTAGCTAGTGATCATATGTTGTTAGTAGGTCAGTGAATGATCCAATAAGTAGTAGTAAAGGGGGGGTTCTGGCACAATTTTGTCCTGGGATAAAATTATGGGATTATATGACCGGATTCTATGCTTGGATTCTATGCTTGGATTCTATGCTTGGTTTCCAAATTCTAGGAAATTTTTAAACAACATTGTTATATTGCGTGACATCATTTGGACAAGTCTAGACATGTCTAATGGTATGAGATTCCAGGTGCGTTTACTCTTTGCAAAAAAATTATATCTATAAGTATATAAAGAGATGACACATCATAAAATTATAATGACAGAGATAGCACAAAATATAATAATTATCAACGGAAAATCTTATACAATTCATCCGGTTTATGATCTATATGCTGCTAGTGAAGATGGGTATGTTTTGAATATAATTAAAAAAAATCCTTCGAAAGGGAATATTCATCATACTGGGTATTTAAGGGTTACTGTTAGAAAGCATGGTGAAAGTAGGCAAAAAAAAAATTTGATACACCGATTCATCTGGGAATGTTATAATGGATTAATCCAAGACGATAAAGTTATTGATCATATCAACGATATAAAAGATGATAATAGATTGAATAATTTACAACTAGTAACACAACAACAGAATTGTAAAAAATCTGCTGAAAACAGAGACTATTCATTTGCAGCTACGAATCATCGAAATAAGAAATGTGTAAAAGCTACTAACTGTGATACAAATGAAGAAACATTTTATAATAGTATGTATGCCGTTCAACAGCATTTAGGAATTAACGCCGGTATTGTTAAAATGTGTGCTGAAGGGAAGAACCGTTTTAAAAGTGGTATATCTAAGAAGGATGGTCAGAAATATAAATTCAATTATATACCAAAGGAAGACCTACCGGAAAATTATAAAAAGTCTGCTAACAAACGTCCGAATAGGAAGGGGAATAAGGATAGTCAGAAATAATTAATATATTTGACTACCATAAAAATAGTAGTGATAACAGCATAATATTTATACTGTGATTATTTCACACATTATAAATAAGAGCTATTATTTTATGTGTTTAACACCACAACTGTGTTGGTCTATCGAAACATATACCAAGCTAAGCCAGCCACACCAACAGTAATAACCGCTAGATTAGTTTCATGTTTTTCTGATGCTGGTGAGGGTTTAATGACGGGTTTATTAAAATTATTAGATGTATCTGTTTTATTCGAATTATCGGATGTATTTGTTTGTTTATCATCTGGTTTTTGATGGGGCAATTTAACCTTTGAACCTCCCATATTATTCTTAGGTATTCCAACTGATTTAGTATCATTATTAATATTATTTACACCAAAACTCATATCATTTGTAGCCCGTTGGAGTTTATTATTGTATCCAATAGTTGATTCAGTATTTATGACTAAACTAGATGGCAGCAACCAACAACCTGGTGATATTGCTAAATCGAGTTTTACTTTAGCCTCTTGAATCGCCATCTGGTACCTTTGTATACTTTTCGAAATATCTCTTTCGTTTACTGAATTTTCAAATAGTTTTAAGAATACATCTTGAGTTTCTTTGGCTGAGCCTGAATTACCAATGATTGATGACCTAGTATTAACCTGTGAACCTAGAACGCAATATACGAAAGCTTCTATACTTTGATTCAACCGTGACATTCCTGCTTTTGTTATACCTAAACCTTTTTGCGGTACGAACCAGTTATACTGGCTTCGATCCTTGTGAGTAGATGTGTAGTATTCTGTAAGAGAATCTTTATAAGGACTTGTATAATGAAAAACTTGTCTGAATCTGTAGAAGAACCTTTGAACCGGAAATCTGGGTTGGATGAATCAATACCAAACTCATTGCACAATTTTACTAATGCACCTTTATTATATCGAGTACCATACCAAACGAAATTATTATCCCACGGTAATGGAACCTGAAGATCGTTTAGAATGGATCTAACTGTGTATAAGACATGAAACTTTAGAACAGAAGAGATTTGAGTACTAGGTTCAATAATGTCGAAACCAATTCCACAACCACTCGTTGCACACCATACAGCAAAATTCAGCTGTTGGGACCAATATTTCATGTTTGGTTCTTCGATCCATGTAGTGTAATTACTTAAATTTTGTACGGTTGGTGGTGTTAGTTGGAATACGTTGTTAAGTTTAGCAGAGAAGCTTTTAACAGGTGTTACATATATTTTGAGCGGGGATAATAAGCTAACGATATCATGTGGCTTATCATAAAGCCCTACAGCTGGAATTGGATAGCTCTTATTAGTAGTCATAACCGCCTTTGGGAATTTAGATCCAAGGAAATCGTGAATATTTTCTGGTTCGTAATGGTGCCCCTCATATACTGGAAATTGGTATAATACCTTTGCTAGGCTACCGTCTGGATTAAACGGGTTGTAATAATCCCCATTGAATAAAAAACGTACATCACCATCTTTACTTTCTATGAAACGTTGATCGATATTGTTTGGATATCTTTTTTGAAATTCTGTGTACTTCATCTTATATTATAATTTATAATAAGAGATAAAGTTTTATATATTAGTTTTTGTCATATCTAATCTTATACATATAACCACCATAGGGGTCTCTGTTGAAGGAAAGAGTTATTTCTTTGGATTTACGAGTTGGTCCACAAGCTCCTTTTTCAACTCCTCTCTCAACTTGTTCACGTCCACATCGTTTTTTAAAAAAGTTTCATTTTTCTTCCGTCGGATACTAGATTTAAGCTTTTCATACTTAGCTAATTCACCCATGATGAGTTCGAATTCTTGCTCATCAATATAATTATTATGTAGGGCTTTTGAGACGAGATCGTTTATACTATTTTCCTTTGATTTGATGAGTTGAATAGTTTTTTCATGCTTCGAAATCTTTTTAGTAAGCTTTTTTGTCACGATGCCACAACCAGCCGAAACCAATCCGAGAACACCTCCGACAGCACTGAGAGGCACTCCGACGACTACGCCCGGTCCTGTCAAACTTGTTCCGATTCCAGAAGCTGTTAGTATGCCACTGAGAGTTCCTGTAGTTATTGTTGTTCCATGGAAAAGTGATCTTAATCTCGTATACTTCTTTCTAACATGTTCATAATGCTTATGCTCTTCTCCTAGTCGAGATAATACCATATTTACTTTATGCAATCTGAAGTTTTCACCAGTATGATTTTGTTTTTCAGGTAGTTTAGGGTAAATACAATCTTGATCCATTGTCTTATAATATATATA